AGTCCTTTCAGGTTCCTCTGAGGACCACAAACATGGGTGAAAACCGCACCTGTTGGAGGCGCTAGGCAAAATATGAGACAACCATAGCCTGTAAGGTTCATGTCCAGTTTGAATTAAAAGAATAAGTAAAAAGAGTTAATCGTAAAGATGTGAAAATGTGCAAAACTTTATTTTAGATTTGATTTTACTGTGCAACAGAAACTTTTTTTTTTTTGAGTTGTCTGACCTATTTTTCTGAAGAAAAGACTAAATTTTCCACCATTTGGTTCTGGGTGGGTGGTACTTTTCAGACTGCCTTGAATTTTCACCAGGATGCTAAAGTATCCTTGAGCAGTGACTCATCATCCACAGAGGACAACATCCTGTCTCACTCACTCGAGTTATCATAAAATCTGCAGACATACAGAGCTGCATCATGACTGGAAACTGGAGCCCAGTGATGAGATAAGACAGCTTCCGGTCCAGACACCGAGATAAGCAGGGCAGTTACGGTAACCTACGGCAACACCGAGGTGTAAATGTGAGTGAGAGTAGGTCATAACCCTTTTAACCCTTTTTACTTATTCTTTTAATGAGTGGCCAGACTTCCTTCTAGAACTAAGGAGGATGGCAGACAGTAAACTGTAGTGCATATGGTACTCTATATCTGCCGTATACACACCATATCTGCAACTGCTAACTTAATTGCCACTATCTGGGTACAAATAGAGAGGTGAGAAGAAAAAGAAGCAAATATCTTCACACAATCCTGCACTGTTTTTACATCAACACACACAAACACAAAGAAGGAGAAGTGGAATTATAAGCAGACAGACCACTTTCCGATCCTTTCCACTGCTAGCGCGCTACGTTAGCGTTCATTCTTGTGTGGTGTCCCTCCGGCTGCTGGTGCGTGCCATCCTCTGCGGTGAGTGGGAGGGTTTGTGTGGGCTCGAGCAGCTTCACCCACTAGCTCAGAGCTGCTACTCCACACTACTCATACTGTGTAAACTGAGTCTGCAGTTCAGAGAGGAGCACAGTATTCCACAGCGCATACAGACAGCATGACAACATCCCACGGCGAGCGGGGAAATCTGTGTGAGCCCCACCCCGTACACTGAGCTTAGAGTACCTTTACAAGATGGGTCAACTCACTGTAGAAATACTCAGCCTGTGAAATCAGTTGTATAATGTCTTGTCATTAGATCAGATTACAGATGCCAACAGGAAATAAAGCATTAACCTTTTTTGGAGACTTCACGTTAGGATACTGTTGCACTGATGCTAACTATTACTTCTCCCTTTAAGTGAACACCCTTGCTATCAAAAATAATTATTTATTTCAGTAAATAAAATTATAAAATAGTTGTTTTTTTAGGAAATATTCCATTACTGAAGGCCGATTAAAACCCCTCAGTCACAGTTAGAGTTAAATCATCTGTTACACAGCAGCTGCCTGCAGTCTGAGTCACAACTGTCAGGATATTTTTATTCTGAAAGGACAGAAATATGTTGCTTATCGTTTTCTTCTTCTTCTTCAGTATTTGCAGTAGTGATTATGGTGCGTCAATATTTAGCATAGAGAGTGCAATCTCCATAAACACTATTAACAAATATAACATGCCAGCAGGGAGCGTGACAATGAATTATTTAACGTGGAACATTATTATTGTGCCGTGGGGCTTCAGACTCAAATACACAGTGGTACTGCTCCATGTGGGAGGGCCAGTTCAGCAGTGACCAAAGCTGCCCATGTACTGGAAGCTGACACACAATGTTCATACATAACTCCCCTCCACAGCCCACAGTGTGTCTTTTTCACACTGAACATAAAACGTGGAGATAATTAGGCACTAATATAAAATACAATGACACCATCGGTTGGTTTTCCTCCTGTACTGTTCGGTTCTTTCAGGTCACCACCCACCTCTGCTCCATCTGTTACAAAAAGGCTGAAAAAGGTGTTTAAATGGACATATTTCACTTCTCTTTCATGTCTACTCATCCATAATCTTAACTGCTTTTAAAGCTGAGGGTTGCAGGGCAGCTGGAGACCAACCCAGCTTACATCGTATATAGTATATAGCATTACAAATGTTGATACTATTATTATACATAAGGTTTCAGATAATGAGGGTCGTGTATATACAAGTAATCCAGTCAAAGCCAAAAGCTCACTCTTCAGACTGCTCTAAAGAATTGTTTACTGCTTTTAAAAAGACAGGGGCTCCATAAGATCCACGTATATGGTAAAAAAATAATTATTTCAAACTAGAGATGGACCGATCCGATATTACATATCGGTATCGGTCTGATACTGACCTAAATTACTGGATCGGATATCGGATATTAAATATCAAAAAAGCACCTCACAAAACTTGCGACACGGCGTAACTCGGCTCATAACCGTAGCACGCTGGAGCAGTATGCATCACGTGATAGAGCGGCTGTGGCATGC